CCAGCAACTCTGTCCTCAGCTGTAGCAGAGGATGAGCTCATCAGTTTATGCTGCATGGGATTTAAGAGGGGATATTTCTTATCATAAAACATGTCAGAATATGGTATCTTCTTGGCCTCTACCACTGCATCAAAGTTGTTGAGGTTGACCAACCACTTTTACAAGGGGAAGAAGAGCAGATGTAAACTTATACACAGGACAACACCTTAGGATGTGAGGCTAAAACCTTAGAAAAGTGGAACTAAATATTCCATATTATTGATTAGGTCCTTAAAATAGGTCATTCTCTGAATTCTTATACTTTCAGAAGGAATTGACACTTGCGGGCTCTCCTTGCTCAATGGATATCCAAGAACAGATGTCAGATTAGCTATTAGCCACCAGTAATTGCCTTTTGGTTTGTTTTTGATTTGGGCTTTTTTTTAGTTTATTTTAGTGAAGGAATTAATTGTCTGTTGAACGATGATAATAAAAGGGAACTTCTTTCTGTTGTAGGTGTGTCATGGCTGGGAGTAGCTTTAACAAGAATTTGTTGATTCACTGCTAAAGCTTGCAAGGAAACGCAGGCAACCAGAGCAAACACAGGGTGAAACTTGTGTTTCTGAATCTCGCTACTTATGCAGCATGGCATTAGGAGAACAAGTTCCTAGCTGGGAAGGAGAAATGTTGGATGTGCTGGGCACCCATGCTGAGGAAGGTCTTGAGACAAGCACAGCTTTCTGAATATTGAGTTGAACTTCCCAGTTTGACACCCAGCTGCCCTCCATGCAGGGAGAGGAAGGCAAGCAGTTCTGAAAATTCAGATGCTTTGAGAACTTAAGTGGGAGTTCCTCTAACTTGGACAGCTGGACTATCATGTATACCATTGTGTTTAAAATTAGTGGTTGGGAAGAATTAAGAGGAAAAGAAAAGAGAGATTAGTTCAGATAAATAAAATATAGAGCAAGCTGCTTCCCAGTCAGTTCAGACTCTGCAGGGAATTGTCTCACTGCAAAGGATGTCTCCCAGCTTTCTTCCCACTCATCTTCCTTATGAGATAGTTTCCCTCCCCCAGTGCAAGGATGTCTTTGTAGCTCCTGCCATCTAGAATATCCTCCTCCTGTGTATTGCTTAAATGGCCCTTTTGCCTTATGACTTAACACCTACTTTTATTCATTGTGAAATGATTTTATATGCTTCTTAGTAAACGTGACAGGCAGTGTATTACCTACTGTCGTCTTTTATTTACTCCCATAAAGCATTATGGAATACAGTTAGTATGTGACATTCAGGACACTGTATAATACTGCATTGTATTGCATACAACATGGTACAGTTCAGCGCCTTGAAAAAAGCACTGTCTTTTCCTTTGCCTGCATCTTTTCTCAAGTGGTTTTTTTCCTGTTTTTCCCCATGGCCGGTGTCCGGTTTCCGAGAGTTCCCCCAGTGTATCTGGTGAGGACAATGCTTGTCTGTTTGGAAAGGTCTTGTCATTTTAGTCTCACTTCTTAGTTGCTACAAGAAGTAGAGGAGTTGCTCACATCTCCTCAAGCTGTTTCCTAGATGCTTGTTGATTCATGGGGGACCATCCTCCAGAGACCGAGTTTGGGTTGACTGTTTTCCCATGTCTATCTAAACCAGTTATCTTTGCAAAATCCCACTGAAAATCCCCTTAGAAAACTCTAGTGCTTTTGGTTCTAGTTCTGGCTACACCGCTTCAGATTGTAATTTAGCATGTGAGGAGAGAGGTAGGAGGGAATCAAACTGTTTCAGAGCTCCTGAAGAGTCTACTCCAGTGTCAGGTGAAGGCTCTGAGTGGCTTTCCATTTCATGCCATGTGAGTTATAGAAACAGTATTTATGTCCATTCTCATCAAGCATACTTTCTTCCTTTGTGGAAAAGGCGTATCTTCATACTGTAGTATTTTTATATCCCCTATTTTACTATACTGAGCATTGTCTCCCCATGCTTCTCTCCAGCCTTTCCTCTATAATGACTCTATAATTACTGCATTTACCATGATAGAAATAACAAGCCACTGTGCTATGATTTTTAAGCCTTTTAACATGTGCAGCTTTATTTCTCCATTTACCTGCTCAACTTGGATACTGCAGAGCTGTGCCAGCCATTGCATTTCAGCACTGATCTTGGTCAGCTGTGATTGACTTGCTGGCAGAGCACCCCAGTCTGTGGGGTTCAGAGGTTAAGTTAAATGAAAAGCCGTGACACAGCCTGTCTTCTTGGGGTACAACAAGATAGGCTGGTAACATACTTTCTCAGCTGGTGTGCTGAGTAAAGTGCACAGATTTTTTGTGGGGGGGTATATGTATGAGCAGATTTAAAAGATGCTGTCCCTAGCACTCTGATCTCAGCAGCTGACAGCTCCAGAGTAAAGCCTGTGCTAGGACTGGCAGGGGAAAGGGAACCTTTCCCTCAGAAGCATGAACCATGTTGAACCACACAGTGAAATGCGCGCCCGTAGTGGGAAAATGGCAAGAGTTTGCTGTCCAAGAAAGAAGAGCAAAGTAGTCTCAGATATAGGATGAGTTCTGCCGTGTTTTACTGCAGTAACTTTTGTTGTGTCCTAGGAAATGGTTGTTTCATTCAAAAGTGCAGAGTTTGTTTACATCAAAACTGTTTTATTTTTAATCCTCTTTTTTGGACATTTTGGACATAGTCCTGTGAAATACCTTGTCCTTTTGGGTATACTTGGTGTTTTCAGAGTCAAAAGGTCCTCAGCATTTCAGTAAGAAGTCAGTAGTGTTGCTGGACATTTTGTTTCATTCCAGATTAGGAGAAAAAAACCAGAGGTGTCTTTTTTTTTTTTTTCCTGAAAAAGGAAAAAAAAAAAATAGAAAACAGACTTGAGCATAGATGTTGCTGATGACAAGTGCAACAAAACCAATAGATGGGTGGTCTTTATTTTCACTGAATTGTCACTTTTCCAATGCAACTTTTTGGTCAAGACAGAACAAAACAAAACAAAACTGGCTAGTTGTGCACTTTTTGAGCTATGGAGTCAGGGCTGTATTTGCTTAGAAAGGTTGGCTCAGGGTGTGAGAACGTTTCATCTTGAATGAAAGCATCTTAGAAAGATGTCACCAATAGATCTTTAGAGATAGTTTTTACAGGAAACCAGACTTTTCTAAGTTTCATGTTGTTTTGAAGCTAGAATTATTACCCTGTCAGAAGTGTACAATGAACTGTAGACACACAACCCTGCTTTGCTTACAGCTGTGTGCAGGGAGGTATCTACAGCCAGGAACCGGTAAAAAGTAACCTGAAAAATAGATGCACTTACCATGAAGTTTTTACCATATCTCTGGGTTCCTGTTTTCCATGAGCATTTATGAAACAAATATATTTATTTTGTATAAAGAGCTTAGAAAGCTTCTGTCAAACATTAGATTTTATTTTAAGAGAGAAGACTTTGGTTACTGTGTGTGGCAGATGGCTGTGGCTGCTTGCTTACTTTGGTTTGTATTTCCAACAATTGTAGAGTGGCTTGGTGGGAGAAATTTTCCCCCCATTTGCTCTTTCTCAGTAGCCAAATTCAGGAGAAGGCACCAGTTTTATATTTCTGTTGCTTGCAGTGGAACTGGAGGTTGACCTGACATTCAGCAGAGTACTGGGGGTGATGTTCAGTTTAAGATGAGGACACCAGAGTTTAGGTGTTTGCATGAGAGCAAGTGTCCGAATTCCCGTAGTAAGCAGAAATTTGGTCAGTGCAGTTGGTGACTGACTGAGGACCTGTCTGGGTGTAGCTCCCAACAGCTATGTTCTGAAGGGGGTCAGCTTGCCCATGTGCAGGTGGCTCCGTGAGACAGCACAGCTTCCATGGGACTGTTGCTGGGGTCTGCTGGGTGTGCTGCTGGACCTCCCTGTCCATGTGGAGGCCAGGCAGGAAACCGTACTATGTCTGAAATGATGTTAGAAGTATCTCTGTGAGTGGCTGAACTGAGCCCTAGATCCCCACACACCACATGGGGAGCACAGATAGCTGTCTCATGGGTGGAGGCTCAGATCTGAGCGTCTTAGCTGGGAACTGAACCCTGCTGTGACCTGCGTGTTGCCTTTGAGCCTTCTGATCCTCAAAATTTCACCACACTAAGGTTGCCAATGCACAAAAAAATAGTTGTTTGCAGCTCTTTGATGCTGGGAGACAAATTCCAGTATCAGTAACTTCTGAACAATGCAAGTGCATGGCGCAAATGAGAAGACATTTTGACTTTTAGAGAGCTTGGTCTTGCCACAGTTCCTGTTATCCTTGGAGCTAGGGATTTGCAGCAGCTGAGGCTGTACCTCAGTATAAGTAAACTTTAGGAACAATTGAGTATTTGCTCAGGCAGAAGTTGTGGAATTTTAATTCAGTAAAGATGTCTATTTGTCTTGAAGTTACTCAATAAGATGGTTGGTGGGACACTTTGGTGCAAGTGTGGAGTAGCTATTTGTGTTAACGATCCATTGACAGAAAATTATTCACACCATATAAATAAAATCAAAATGTGACCTAGCACATGTTTCTGGGATGAAACACTGAAGCACAATAAACAAACTTAGACTCACTTGCACACATTTTCCTGCAGCCTGTTATTGCTGGTTTTGTTCAGAGGGCATCTCTCCCCAGAGCACCGAATTGGGGAAGAAGAGCTCTTTGCCTTTTCACTTTACTCTGTGTCACTTCATTGTTCTCAAGCTTGCAGCTATTATTAAAGTTTAAATTCTGGTTTAAAACCAAAATGGTGAGAAGGAAATTATATAATCAATATCGATGTAGAAGTAATGATATATTTATCATAAAATAAAGAGTCTATATAGTTGAGTACTGTTCTTATTGTTTATAGGGGGATGAATTAAGAGAAAATACACTGTACTTCCTAATTAATAATAACTGCTCCTAGACCCAACTTTTTATAGACTTTAAATGCAAATAATTTGTGCTGTGTTATAAACTGTTGTGTTTTTTGCCTTCCTGTAACTGGAACAACATACTAATTTCTACAAGTTGTGACTACTAACAGAGAGCAATCACCTCACAGACTTGTACCGAAAAGAAGAGACCATCAGCGTGGCAGGGAACGGCTGCATCCACAGTCCTCGCTTCCCCAGCAGTTACCCCAGGAACCTCCTGCTGACGTGGCGGCTCCACTCCCCGGAGAGCACCAGGATCCAGCTGGCTTTCGATAATCAGTTTGGCCTGGAGGAGCCTGAAAATGATATCTGCAGGTGAGTGGCAAGTGGAAGTTTGCAAAGTTTATGGATGTGGCCACTGGCATGAGACTGCAAACCAAAATCTGGGTACCTCTGGCCGGGTCTAGGATGGTCCTGCTTTGAGGACAGACCTCCAAGGGTCCCTTCCAACCCAAATTGGCCTTTGAGTTTATAAATAAACTGAGCTGCCCTGGACTTTAAGCAGTTTTGGTAGATTTTAGTCCTTCTATAATACTTTAAGCACAAGGCACTTGTACGCTCAAGTCCAGCTACCTAACAAGTCAGGTAATTTTTTAATAGGATTTTGTCCTCTATCACCTCTGTCATGTTTCACCCAGGCAAAACCCATGTTTTTCAGTAGATGGAAAGCTCTGGGAGGTGTGAGTGAGTAGGTATGTGTTTGTATCGGGGTGTGAGGGACAGATAAAAATGCATTGAAAAATATAACTATGTTCTTTAGATTATTTGTTTGTCTTTATTTTTACTCTTCACTGGTACAGTTTGGTTTAAAACCTTTAAATATAGGTCCACAAACATCAGTGTACTCTGCATACTGATACATCTAATAAAGTATACTCTACTATCTCCCGGTTGCTTTAGTTTCCCCTTTTAAGCAAAAGTGACCATAAGCTCAGTTGCTCTGGCTGATTAACCCAGGTGGATAAACTGCTTTGCATTAGCAGGGCACAGAGCTGAATCTTGCCAACATTCACTAAAACAGGATAAATCCATGAAGGTTTTTGTTTATATTTCTTCCATTCAGCCCTCTGTTCTGCGGGTGAGAGCAGGCTCAGATTTCCCATGCGCTCCGAAAGGCAGATTGCTGTGATGGTACTTACATAAAACGCTGGAGTCTCAGCTTCCAGCTCTCTGCCTGATCATGTTGTTACTTACGCCTTATCTGTGCAGAGAACTGGGTTGTTAGGATTTCTGCACACCCAGCCTCTGCTTATCTTATCTTTGTCAATTAATTTGCGTTTATAGGGTTTGGCAGCTCTGCAGGGTTTTACAGGGTGGATTTTTTTTTTCTTGTTTTACTTTTTGTTAATTTTCGACGTTACCAATAGAGAGAACCATTTCTGCAGGTTTGCTTTCTGTGTAGTAATAAAAGAATGCAGCCTGAAACTGGCTCTCCTTCCCTGCGCCTTGATGGTCTTGGCATCTGCTGCTCTGCTGTGGTACTGTTGGTCCAAGATCAGCAGCAGAGTCAGTAACAACAGTTACCTCCTAGCACCGCAACCGCTTTCCCAGATTGAGAGCCTAATGCATACAGAAGCGACCCATTAATATTTACACAGTGGATAAACTGTGGCTGACCTTAAAGCATTGCAACTATGAAATGGAGGGCTAATTTACTGTGGAAAAAAGAAAGATGAACTATTCTCTGTCAAGAGCCATTAAAGGTGGTGGCACGGTGAGGGGAAGTCAAGCTGTTATTGGCATTATGGGTTTGGGGACCGTCTTGGAACACAATCCGCCTGCTTTTTCCAGAGCAGCTAATTTAGGATGCAGAGAGAAGCAAAGACCTTCCATCATCCATAGTGTCTGTAAAGCTGGAGAAATTTCACATTCTTTTCTGCAATAAAGCTTTCCTTGGCCTTCCAGGAAGACCTTTATTTGCGTAGTATTACTTCCATCGTGAGGAATTTCTCGGGCAGGCAGCTCGTGATGGCTTTAAGCCTGTTAAGTACTGTGTGCATAGTTAGATTTTTTGCTAATTCTGAATATGTTTTTCAAAACTAGGTTCTTTCTGCAACTTCAGTCCCTGACAATCCCTGCAGTGCTGCTTTAGAGAGACAGCCAGGCGTGTTTTAATTGAAATGAATGCTGAGAGCTGAGCGTGTGCTTGAATGCTGTGCATTTTGGACAAGCAATTCAGGACCTCTGCACCTTACCTTCCTTTTGTACTTGCTTTTGACCTTATGCTTTTTTTCCCAGAAACTTCCTAGTGTTTTCTTTCAATTTTTCATTAATGCTAATTATTGTAATTTGCATACTATTAAGACTGAACTGATTGAATTTCATTCAGGCTGAGGAATGAAAAGGTATACATTAGCAGAGCTGTTTCAGAAGGAGGGGAAATATTCAAGGTTTTACAGAATTTTCTAGAAGTGCTGTTAGCATTTCCTGAGGCACTTGATAAGAGATGATTCTGAAAAGCAGTTAAGTTTCCCAGCCTGTGAGGTTCCTTGGATCCACAGAAACAACCGAGATATTGCACCTACTTCAATGACCATTGCAGCAAAACCTCTGCTGTTGAAAGCAGAAATAATCCCTGAAAGCCCATGGATTTGCCCCATTTTTGCTAGCAGTTAGTCTGGCCCCTGGCTTCAAAAAGTGGGGAGGCCAGTCAGGACAATTTTCACCAAAGCCTACAAGGTTATGTTATGCTGAAAACTCTGCAACCCCTCGTGTTACAGTAAGAGTTCCCTGGCCATCGTGCTGCCCAGGGGGCAGTGGCGGATGCTTGTGCGGGCAGCATGGAGCTCTGCTGGGTACCACGTCCATCACCATGAGGGAGTGGGAGCAGAGGTCGGTGGAGAGAGCCTGAGACAAGTTTACCTCTGTCTGAAACTAAACTCTGTCCTGTTACAAAAAAATGTATGTTTCAGCAGAGTTTGGGCAGATTTAAGTGATTTGGTTATGGCGAATCTGTTATTTTCTGTTCTGTGCAATTTGGGGTTGGTGAATATAAAAGCAGCAGTGCTGATATTCTCAAGCCATGTAGTGCTTGCATTTTTTTCTCATGGGCTCTCAGCAGAAAAAGACGAGCAGGTCTGTTATTTACAGAGCTATTCATCTCCCACAACTGAGCAGGGAGGCGGGTGCTTGGCCCACAGACCCGGGCGTGGGGAGCAGCACATTGCTAGTAAGAATCAGTTAACAGTCTTAAACTCCCTCTTTGGAGGGAGCACATGCTTTCATACTAAAAACCTTCCCTGGTAAAGACCTCCAAAGTTTTAAGGCTTAGCTGTGCTGTGAGGATGGCAGCTCTCCCCATCTCCCGTTGCCTGCACTCAACCCGCTCCTCTTGTCATCACCTCTCCCTCGCCGACCACAATGTGTGGGGCCCAATTCTGGCTCCACAGATATCGAGGGATTGTTTTTTTCATAGATGTTGTGAGATCAGGACTTCATTCTCTTCCTTCCTTATTCTCAATAAATGACCGAAGCAAGCGAAGATGCAGGCTGCGGCAGTGAGTGCTCTCATCCCTGGGGTTTAGTGCCTGCTGCTCCTGGCAGAGCCTCTTTGGGCTGAGGGCACCACAACTGTGGCACGAGTGCCTGGCCAAGGTGTGACCTTGCACAGGGCAAGACGTGCTGTTGGTTTTCCCCTGGTGACAGCACCCACGCAAACAGCGGAGGAGGGAGGAGTCCCTGCCGCAGCACGCAGAGTGACAGCCTGCCCTTTTCTGCTTCAAAGTTTGAAACGAGTCTTTCCAAACCATCTAGCAGGAGAACCGTGCCACCTACAAAGGTCCTAAAAGGACATGCACTGCCCTGTGTCCCTCCAGCATCTCCCTTTGCTCCTGGCACGGCGGCAGCCCGGCTCCAGCCCTCCAACAGGCACAGCAGGCGGGAGCTGGTGGCTGCTGCTGCAGGGAGCTGGGGGACCACCGGAAAGTGCGCAAAGCTTGCAGCTGCTCCGTTTGGGCAGCCTGCCTTAAATAATATTTTATCAGGTCTCTAAATTATTTATCCACCACATGAAACGCATTGTGTATGTTTACTGTGTACTAAGCACATGCAAGTGCCTCTCATTGCTATTTTAACGTGTAGAAAATACTATCTGTCATGTTCCAGGAGCCCAAAAATCAGCCATTTGGGCACTCAGGCAGCAGCTTGCAGCTTAGTGTATTTTGTGCTACGTGAGCATGTCCAGCATTTGTGGTATTTAGTCTGATGTTTTACAGTGGAGAACGGGGAACAGTTGTCTTTGTGTCTCCATCTGGGCTCCTGTCTATTTGCAACCATCTTTTGTAACCAGAGTTAGCAAAAACTAATTCTTCAAACTGGTTCCCAGGTATGACTTTGTGGAAGTGGAAGATATATCGGAGACTAGCACGGTTATACGAGGACGGTGGTGCGGACACAAGGAAGTACCTCCAAGAATAACATCAAGAACAAATCAGATAAAGATAACCTTCAAATCCGATGACTACTTTGTGGCTAAACCAGGATTCAAGATTTGTTACTCCCTTGTGGTAAGTGACCTAGCTGTGTCATGGGTGAAGGACAGATTGTAGTATAAAAGAGCATCAGTAGTTGAGGACTGGATGGTTGGATCGAAACACTAATTGACTGAAAGTATTTTCATTCCAACAACTACATTAATACAGATCATTAATACTACAGTCATTAATACTACATTAATGACAGATCCTGTCATTAAATATAAAATAAAGTCAAGTCCAGGCCAAGATTTACACTAATAACATGTTTCAGAAGCACTAACACTTTCTGCAGTGAGGCTACACTGCCAGTGCCATGACAGATGCTGCAGAAGTAACAAAGAAATGGCTGCTCTATGAACTCCTTTTTTATGTTCATTTGAGGTCAAATAAAAATACCTTGAGGGGCTATGGCTGTGATTCTGAGTTAGTGCGGAGTAGTTTATTCTACATGCAATAAAATTCTACATGCAAGACAATGTGCTAAGGCTCAGGCTGTATTTTTAACCACGTATAAACATGCCTCTCTGTATATGCAGTGGTGTTACCAGTGTATCATGTACTGTTTCAGTGAGATGAAAACCTCCTGTTTTTTCATTTTGGTTTT